AGGACTTGTCCTGGTGATTTGCTAAAGGGCCCTATTTATTAGCGGGTTGGAAGTGATGAGTGTGTGTTGATTCTATAAAAATTAGAGTAAATTTTGGAAGAAGTTGACAATTGTAATAATCTTGGAACGAAAAAATTAAATTTTTAGATTCTTGTAATTCACACGTGTTAAATTTCAAAAATGAACAAAATTTTTGTGAAATTCATGTTATGTACAAAAAAATTTTCATATTAGATTCTTTACATGTATAAAATAAAAAACCAATTAATAAAATTCTAAAAAAGTTATAAAACCATAGCAGATAGTATCTCATGACGTAAGAAAGCGTTTGAAGTCAAACTGAAATCTTTATTTATGAATAATTTATAAACTTCACACATAAAAATTTAACTATTCTAATTCTTCAACATATTGCGATTAATAAATTTGATCATGAAGGATTTAATCTAGAACCAAACAATTCTAGAAATACTGGCGAAAAAAATTTCTGAAAGTTACGATGGAGAGGGAGAGAAAGTGTTTTCTAGGCATTTCTGGATATATTAAGGATTTTATCTTGACAAATTCTGTACAAATATAAGTATTTTTAGTTTTTTTTTGTTTTCTTTGTATGATGTTTCTTTTATGCTTTTTTTTTTGTAGAAAATTAATTGTGAGCGATAAAATTAAGTGTATCAATGTAATCTTTAAGACATTTGAGATCAGAAACGGGGAATTGTTGTCTATATTAATGTTGTTGGATGTGTGAAGCGAGAGGCGGGTTACTAATATTTTATTATTGAATAAAGCATTATTTTGTTAACGCTCAAGATGACAACGTGATTGATTACGGGCTTGAACGTTACAGCGGTGGCTTTAAGGGTTACTATATACGGAATTGGTTGGGTAAATTGCCCGTTAGTGTGAACCAGGGTTACGGTACATTGTGAACCAGGGAGGTTCATATACATCAAATAAATCCTCCAAAGTTTTGTCCGTACAATTTAGTTGATAAGTACCATTATACTCGAAACACTGGTCAATCGCACTGAAAAAAAAACCCCGAAAAAGTTTTTCCGTCTTTGTTGGGCAGATCAACAAAATGAGATTATAAATAAATTCCTTGCCGCTAACAGTTTCTAAAATAAAAATATGAAAATGTAATTATTAAACAAGTAATTTACATAAACACAAGAAAACGAAATTAGTAAAATAAATTACAAATCTTTTATGGGATGATCCATACTCTCTCGCAACCCTTCTCAGCAATTGGCTTCGTTGTCACCTTGCCCAAAATCTCCTCGCGTATAGCACTTATCTACCTTTAATCTATAAAACTTTTACAAAGAACTAATTATAATTATTTTCACATCGCTTCTCTTGGCCCAAATTAAGTTTTGCTTTACTGATTTGTATTTGAACTGTTTTTTGACGCTAATATGTCTTACTAGTCCTATACTCTTAAAATGGTAATAATTTTATTTTCAGTCCACCTCGCAGGTATGTCATAGAACAATAGCGCCATACTCTCTTTCTTGTAAGAACTTTCATTAATCTCTGTCACGGTAATTGATATATAAAATGGTCATTAAAAATTTAAAAAATCAAATAAATCGTTTTTTTTTTTGAAATTTTTTTTTTTTCAAAAAAAGAATTCAAAGATTAATTTACCCGCATCATTTAAAGAAATAATTTGATGCTTTATTTAATATTTTTATTATATTATATTATAAATAAATTATTTAATTAATTATTATTTGTATTTAGTTTTTTTCACTATAATTCGTTGAGTACCTAAGGAAACTATCAAATACCCATCATATAACTGTAACCCATACCTACATTTATTCTTTCATCAAAAACCCCAACCTCGTTCTGTGATACATCACCTTTTTTCAATATATTGATATAATTATTAAGTTGTATCTTTCCATTATCAATATATTTTTTAACTTTAATTGATTTATATTTTAACTCTTCTTTACTCCAATAAAAATAATTTCGATTTAATAATTCTTCTTCCGATTCAGTTTGAAGTTTTTTATCTAAATCAATTAAAGATTTAAATGGAGGGTTGCCCACCCACCTACCCATTTCCCCAGATAAAAGTCCGATTAAATTAAATAATTTTAGTTCAATCACTGCACTAAATGTTCCGCAACTTATATCACACAAAAATAAGTCGATAAATCCATATTTATATTTAGGAATTTTTTCAACAATTAACCGCATTTCGGAAATGTAACAGTTCGAAGGCAATATTAACTCTATGGCCGTTTGAAATGAGTTTTCGTTATAGTCTCTAAACGACCTAAGAGATTTCTTTTTATGATAACATAAAATTTCACGAATGAATTGACTTTCATTACTATTTAATATGCCTTCAACCATTAATTTCCTTTTATCAAAATTGTTGGTAATAATCTTAGTAATAATGAATAAAAATAAATTTAATTAATAAAAAGTGATCTAAAAAGTAAAATAAAAAAAAAATTTAAATTTCAGAAATTTCAGATAAATGCAGCAGTTATTTTAACATCCAAAAGCCACAAAAGCCTAACGACTCCTAATCTAAGAATTAGACTATTCATAAAAAAGGGTAGCTTTAAATAACCCACACAAAAGTTACAAAAGCCTAACGACTCCTAATCTATGAACTTGATTATTCATAAAAAAGGGTAGCTTTAAATAAACCATGCAAGCTACTAAAAGCCTAACGACTCCTAATCTATGGATTTGATTTATCCATATAAAAAGGGTAGCTTGAAATCAGCTGCATTGAATCATCATCAAAGGAAATTTATTTGTAGATCAAATAATTCCGGCAGATTTATTTGATTCAGCAAAGTCTATCATGTGACATTTCACAAATTTCAGAAATTTTGAGTTATATGTTTCCACAAAGGAAATTCTTATGCAAATCACTTTCATTTTACGAAAAAATTTACAAATAAATAATAAAAAAACCCATTTGTAACTAACCTTTCCTTTAATTTGAGATATATAATATATTATATCTTTCTCATACTCTGCACTTGGATTTGTCTCTATTCTGTTTATTACTTTAAAAAAAAATCAAATTATAACACTTAATTAAGTAAATTTTTTATTTACAAAATCATAAAATACCCGAGACAATTTTTTCTTTTAAAGAATAAATTTCAATAATTGGGCCCAATTCCAAACCACTTCTACGTAGATCATCCTTAGAAATATGGAAGAAACTAGAGCCAGTAATTCTTTTATTATTTAATATAGAAAAGTCATTTGCTTCAAGGTGTAAAACTTGAAGTTTTTGTCTTTTCAAAAAGCTGGCTAGTTCTTTGGATGTCCAGCTCTCTATGTGCTTATGTAAGTCCATCATTAATAACTAGTGTATTATAAGAATTGATAATAATAATGAAAGACGTTTTTAAATTACTTGCTAAGGATGGCTTTGTACGGTTTGGAAAATTATATAGATATTTTTTTTCTAAAATTTCTAAAATGACCATTATTTATATTTTTTCTGGAATGGCCAGTATTTATATTTTTTGAAAGGGTATCAGCCAAATGGAATTTTTAAGCAAAATAAATTGAAGAACGGTCTGAGTATATAACGAACAGTCTGGGTATAAATAATATTACAAATATAGCCAAATTGATTTTTATTTTGAGTAAATTGATACAATTGATCTTTTTTTTCGAGTAAAAGTATAATAAATTACAAACAGTCTGAGTTTCATTTAATGGTCAAATGTTCAAAAGTATAATTAAATATAGTTAAACGAAATTTTTTTTTTCCAAGGAACGGTCTGAGATACAATTTTTTTAAAAAACTGTAATGCATCTCTTTATTATGGATAGATATCACGGTCTGAGATACATATTAACATATGGTACTTTAGTAAATAGTCTCTGTGTTTTAAATTTAAAACATTTTTTATCAATTTATTCCGAACTAGTATTGGAATAAATTCCTGTTTATTTTTTAGTCCCTATTTACATTTTAAAATAACCTGTATATATATTTATATACATCATAACAGTATTAGCCAGGCATCAATTATATAAACAGTATAATAATTTGGCTTTTTCTTGTGAACAGTATTTGCCATATTAAGAGAGAAAAAGTATATTAAATAAGAATTTTAAATTCAGCTATTTCAGTTAGACTATTTAGACTATCCTTTAACTAAATATGAAATGTAGTATAAAAAAATATATATATATTGTAGCCGGGTTTTATATTTTCGGAGTTCATTGTTTAATTTTGTTTATTTATACTCTATAATCTATATACTCGTACTTCAGTACCGCGAGTACCGCTGAGTTATGTATATTGAATATATGTAACGCGTAACTCACGTGACTATAAGTAGTCAATTTATGCATAAAACAATGGGTTTAATAAAATTCATTGTGTGCTGAGATTTGATTTCGAAGAAAAGTATATTATAAAGGTACTAAGAATCATTTCTGTTGTTATATCCCTAAAGGTACGAGTCCAATTTTTAATACCGATTCCCCTCCTAGCTCAATTAATTTGATTTGTATTTGACGGCAAGATCAATTTCAGGTGACATATCAAAGCAGAGAACGTCATCATCACCTTCAACCTTAACACTCATCTTGTTGTACCGCCTTTTTGAATACAGGCAACTGTGGCCTGGATTGCTTCATAAACTTTGACACGAGAATATTTTTTACATATCACCCATACAAAACAGTCATTTGGATCCGAAATTCTGGGTCGATCTATTTATCAGGAATTGGAAGCTTTAATTCTCGTTTTAAAGGCGTCTCGCTAAAAATAAGTTTTAATGAGGGTTTTCTTTCTTTTCTTGATCTGCACGATAGCAGTGAAAACTGTAAGATTTTTTATTCCGGGTAATATGGTATGTTCCCTATTACATAATGGGCAGTGTGACCCGGAAAGGCTCTTCAACTTTGCGAGAAAAAAGTTGAGAATTCTAATTTATCTTGGACAACTTGGGCATCTTGGACGAAGGAACCCGTCCAAGTTCATTTAACGTCTTAGAATGCACTTTGAACCGATTTTAGAAATCAAGACTTCGGAACTCTTGGACCACCAAGTCGAACATCACTTGGATTTTCAAATTCCACGTCGGCAGGATGAAATCCAATTATTGAGTTATTTTTTTAGGGTGATGCCGTGGTATGCCGTGGTGGTAGCGTTTTTTTATTTCCATAAATTTTTTAGGACCAGGTGCTTGGATATTTCGAAATAATTTATGTTTTATAGGTGGGTGGGATTAGTGGTGTTTTATTAATTTTATTGAGTTCTGCCGTTTTTTATTTTGCACTTGGATATTTTGGTATGTTTCGAAATGATTTATAGGTGAGTTTCTGTGAGTGAGATTGTTTTATAACCTTTTTTTACCATGTCGTGACATCTGTCAAGTGGCTTTTTGGTCAACTAAATCGAACTTATTTTTCTTCCACAACAACTATTGACAAGTGACAACGGACCCAGCTCTTCTGAAGCTTGTACAAATCGTTTAAAACACAATTTAACGAACATGGTTCGATTTAGAGCCATATATGATCATTAATATATCACGCGGTTGGTGAAGGTATTATTCGTTATCGTAAGGTTGATTTCCTTCCGTACCTACCAAACATATCGCCACCCAAATTCCAAAACCAAATTCTTAAACCTTTTCATAGGATTTTTGGCTAAGCCAGCAACAGAAATTAATAAAGAGATCATGGATCCATTCTTTGGACGTAAAAAATATAATCTGTAATGGCGATGAAAGGTTTGAATATATCTGGAACTGAAGAGACTATTGGGAAGTTGGCTCAGCGTATTGTTCAGGGCAATCTTAGTGAAATGGAAGTAAAAGCAAAATGCAAGGTCCTAGTTGAATCAGCCTCAAGTGCTAGTTCTGCCTTATCACTCTTCGAAGAGAATTACGCAAGCTTAACGCTTCAGAAAAAATAATTTCTGCTACGTTAGATCCTAACACAACCCGTTTAGCTAATGATGACCAAAAGGAGAAGTGCTTACTTCGTAAAAATAAAGGTATTGATTATCCGGATTACTTTGTATTAGAATCAGTTAAGGAAAGATTAGATGGCTATGATATATCTAGTAAACCTGGTTTACAGGCTCTTTCCGATGTAATGATAATGCTCTGTATCCGTCCTGCTGAAGTTAAAAGTTTAAGAATTTCAGATGGGAGGGTAACTGGCTATGTGAAACATCGAGATCAGGTAGATATTCCTCATGCATTTAAATCAATGGAAAAAAATGATGAGCGTGCCAGACAGTTACTTAAATGGATACAAGATGCAATTTCATCTGGGCAGTTAAAGATCCGTATTCCTGGTATTAAATGTTTCCACGCACTAAAAAAATACGATTTACTCCCTCGATATTTACGAAATATAGGATCTGTATTTGCAGTGGTAACATAGTAAACTATGACTATTGCATCCGAAGCTTTTAAGGCATTGTCCTAGAAACCATACTTCTCCTGCGCAAAATTATACTATAGTTAATTACAGACCTCGCGGGGTACCTTACGACCAAGCAAAGCCGTTCAAACTTCAAACTCCGACAAAAACTAATCATATGGCCGCGCATCCCGGGAAATCGGCCGAGGTGAAAATTTATTTTTTTCGAACAAGATATAGCATATATAACGCATTATCTGTTTAGAGACATGGAACGTCAACGGTGGACAGAATGACACAGAAATTAGTGCGATTACCAAAGAAATTGGAGCGTTAAAGAAAAACGCTTCACGTAATAATATCGAGCTCGGAAGCTTTCAAAGAAGGTTGAAATGCTAGAGATTGGTCTAAATGGATTTATTAAGATTTATTTAACCACTGTGTTGACCCACAGAAATACCGTGTAAAAATTAATGATAAACTAAGCACGAATTCATCTGATTCGTACGATTCATCTGTTTCTTCTGAAGAACAAGTTCCACCCCATAAACGGTGAATTTGTGGGCAGTCAGCCTGGACAGGTGTCCCTAGTCCGGAGCAGAAAGGACAACCATGTCTGTTTGTGGAAACATAAGCTCTGTGCCACCGCGGGAGCTTCTGATAGAGTTAATACAGTTTATTCTAAAATATCTTTCGATACAGGATCTTAAAAAATGTCTCAGTATAGTAAATTATATATGGAAAGGTGAAGTGAACCGAGAAATTCGCAGAAGATTTATACGTCTATGGAAAATCATGATCTACTGAAACTGAATCGGTGGATGAAATTACCTATGTAAGTGAAGAGCCTCCTCCGATGATTATGGGCACAGCCATTACCCGAACGATTTAATCAGGAATTAGCACAACCCCTTTTGGAATGGGCGATAATTTCTTTGATCTATCTAGTCCGAGCAGAGGTCCAGTTGATCATCAGCTCGGAAGAATTTTGCTGAACCACGAATTGTACGACAGAATGAATGTCAGGTTTGTGCGACATATTAATTTTCGCATATGCTTTAACAAATATTTTTTCCGGGTAAAAATTATCAAAGAATATAATTTTATTAATTAAAGTTTTTCTCAAGATAAGTTGGAATATTGTCTTACCTGCAACACTTCATAAGTTCGCAATTGTAGCATAGACCGGTCATGTGGGTCGATCACCTGAAATGCGCAGTACAATATCGTTCCTATTCATAGTCTGTTAAAATTATTAGAGGTAATGGATTATAGATTTTTTCTTTCTCACCCTGCAGATTGATTGATGATACATCGGTAGATCCACTCTTTATTAGCTGATAAATCCTAGTTGGAAATGAGAAGAGAATTCACGTATATCATATGATTAGCTAATAGATTCTGCTTCTATTGGTTGGAAGTGTGAAGAGTCTTCACGATTATCATATGACAATTATGACATGGCAAGTAATGCATTCAATCCTTATTTTCTTGCTTATTAATTATACTTGTACATGAAATATTTTGAATTTATTAAGTTTTTGTTTCTCATATACATTTGAAAAAAAGAAAAACCAACAGGATATGCTATCAGGAAAAGCTATTAGGGTAAGTCATCTCCTGCAGATTGATAGTTCAAGGGAGGGGCAGAACTACTTTGAAAAATGGCATATATTTAGGGATGGAAGCATGGATGTAAAGTTTGTGATGAATGCGATCATCACTCACATTTGTATTGCAAAAGGTATAAAAAAGTCGCAGAAGGAATTTATAAGCGATGTGAATGTCCTCAAGTAATTTGATCAATAAAGCAATGGTGCAAATTTATCAGACATTTTATATTTTTTTCGCATGGAATGAGTAACGGGATTGTGTGAAGCAAAGTGTGTCAAAGCTTCATTATAGCTTGATAAATCAATGCGCAGTAATATTATAGTAATATCACAGGAACGCATTCTCAAACTTTCTCGCACATTCTCAAAAATTATGTATAGCCCCTTATATATGGATAACGTTAAGTTCTTTATTGTTAAATTAAGGGGATGTGATTTTCGTGATGCGATCATATTAACGTAATTTTTCCCCAAAGTGTATTCCAAGATTGATCCTGCAAATTGTATAAAAAGGTGATGTTCCGGCTAGTGAATCCTTTTATCTGCCTCATGCAAGTAAATAAAAATCAAACAAAACTAATCAAACCAATCTAACTTACCATTATTTGCAATTTTGCATCAACAATATCTCTAATCAATCCAACTTATATTTTCCGCAAAGTAATAATAAAGTAAATTTGATTTCTTGGCTTGATTCTAGAAAATCGTTATCACAACGCTAATCATTTTTTTCTGGCTCTATAGATGCTCAAAGATAAAGCGAACATATTACCTTTCTTGATTCTTTCCGCACATTTGATATTTGCCGAGAAAATCGTAATCATTGTCATATGCTTAATCAGCGCAGTATTAATTTCTGTCATCAAATTTCCGTCACATGCTGAGATACAGTGCGCAGTATATCGAATAAAAATTTCCGGCAATGGCATCCGAATTCTTGATGCTTGGCGTAATATTGTTCTAGCGATAAAAAAATCGACACCTTTATAATAACGCATTAAGTAACAAATTTTTTGAATATGAGGCGGAATGGAATGTTGTGAAAATGAAGTATAGCAGTAAGTGTGAATCAGAAGCCTCAACTTGTTTTATTTCTTTTACCTCATTGCTAATCTCAGAATTCTTCATACAGGTTCGAAATTATTTCATCTCGGGGAAGTTCTCTTGCAGGAAATAATCTATTACATAATCTGTGTGAGTGGGAGTGATATAAATAGACGAAAATTTATAAGTGGTATAATTCAGTGTTGTGAAGTGATATTAAATGACACAAATGACATTAGTGACATGTCACGTATCATTATGTCATTTCAGTGAGTAAATGACAATATTATGTCATTTGAAATTATGTCATGTGAGCTGTAATGCCGGCCAAAATTATTTAATATAATAAATCTTTATTATAGCGTATTATTTAATAAAAGTAAAAATTACTTAATCACAAATTCACAATTTATTATTAAAACATATTAACTGGAGCTTCTAAAGTCTTATTAAACAAATCAAGTAACTTCCATTTAGCCAATGGATTATCTGCTGGATGAATACTTTGTCCACCTATTTCAAATTCATATGTTTCTTCGCCTATAACTTCTGTATTATTTATATTAATTTCTGCATTAACCATTTTAATCCAATCTTCAATTATTTTAGTCCATTGTTCAGAATTAATATTATCACTATTATTAGTTTTTTCAAAGGTATCATTAACATTACATTCATCAATAACAGAAGTTTCTTCTAGTTCTTCAGTATCACTATCGTTAAAAGCATTAAATGTGAATTCATTATCATTTGTGTCTTCTTCATCTGATTGGTATTCTTGGATTGGTTCAGCAATATGTAATCGTTTATATTGTCGTTCAGAAATTTCTATATCATCACGTTTTCTTTTACATAATATATCACTTCGCAATTGAGCCATAGCCAAAACTTTCTTATGCTACAAAATTAAAAATGTATAATCTTTTGTTAATGTGATTTTGCATAATATAAATTTTGGTAAAATACACTTACATTTAATTTATTTCTGCGGGTTGAATGTAAAAAACCCATATTTGACCAAAGACGTTCCATTGAAGCTGCATTAACGCAGATCCCAAAAAGATGTAAAGCTAATTTTGAGAGTTCAGGTGCCAATCCTTTGGCAGATTCCCAGAAATCAATAATATTTTCTTCAAACTGATTATAAGTTTCAGAATTAAAAGGAAAAAGCTCACGTTGATATGATAAATAATCACGAAGGATTCTTTTTGGTGTTTCATTAAACCATGCTTGATAGTAATATATAAGCCATTGTCCAAAATGTGTATAAGAAATATTTTTAGCAGAAGAATTAAATTTTGAAACTCGATATTTTGGATGAAGAACAATTGAAAGTAATAGTAATGGCTGTTCCCACTGTGCCCAGCGTGATTCTAATCTTGCTATCATGCAATTACCAAATTCTACGTTTTTGTGAGAAGAAAATATTTTAATTATCCAACCAAAGCAGTGTGCAATTTCATATAGGCGCGCAATATCCTTTTGTAATTTATTTAATGCGCTGCATATTGGTAATAATAAATTTTGAAGTTCAAATAGTTGGATCCAAAATTCTGGATCATTAATAATTTCAATTATGTCTGAAGGGAGACATTTGTTTTCATTATTTGAATTAGTTCTATAACGTTGACGAGATACTCCAGCTCGAGAAGTACTTGGAGTTCCAATACGTTCAGGAGAGCATTTTGTTATTAAAGTCTAAAAAAATTAATAAAACAGGTATAAAAATTTTATTTATTGATTTATTGAGCAACTTGCCAAAATTATAATTCTCACCTTTAATGCTGCTTCTGTTTTTAAAATACTGTGAAAACAAAAGTAGTAACTATTCCAGTGTGTTTCCCCTGGAGTTATCAATGCTATTGTTTGACCATAGCATGAAGTTTGTTCATTTCTTAACAATCCAGTGAAATAAGGAGAGGAGTGAAAATAACTAACAATACGAACTGCATTTTTTGATACTTGCTTGTATTGAAGTGATTCTTTAAAAATATCTCCTACAACCAAATTCATCTGATGGGCCATACAAGGTAAAAATACCTTACTTGGATATTCTACTCTTAATTGACTTCTAAAAAAGCAAAAAATTAAGATTTTATTAATAATATTCTATACCATAAAATATATAATATAAAATTGTACTCACCTTGCTGCAGCATATTCTCCAGCTGAATCAGAAACAAAACAATTGATTTTTATTTGTTTCAATTCGGCATTATTCATCAAATTTTTAATTAACATTTTAACATCTTCAGTTTTAGATCGTTGATCACTAATATCCTTAGCTCCCCAAATTAGTGTTTTACCAGATGAAGTAATAAGTACAACCCCAAAAAGATGTTCTTGTTTAACATTTGTCCAGCCGTCAAAAGCTGCAGTAACACCAATTGCATCACCTTTTGCCTGCTCTACAATTGATATAGATAGTTGGTTTGCAGATTTAGAAAGAATACGATTACTGATGGCATGACGTCCTGGAAGTTTCAATGCTGGAGCAATAAATCTAAAAACTTCTTGTGTTTCTTTATTTTCCAGAAATGTAAATGATAAACCATTTGATACCATCATTAGTAATACCAGATTTTCAAAATGAGGAATGTCTTTCTTAGAAAATGGCCGGGATACATATCCTGATAAGGTTGATTGTTTAATAATTGAATTACTAGATGGTGCAGCAGTTGTAGATTTATCAGTTTCCATCTCACTTTCATTTATTATTGCTTGTGTTTTATTTTTTTTCTCATCTTCAGGTACTTTACGTGATAAAATTTCTTCTCTTTCACTCTCATGATATTCATGAGCAAAATTTTCACATTTTTTCAGATGATTATGGCATAATAATGCTTTATTAGATATGAAACATTCAGGTTTAGAAATAGCAATAGGTAAAGTATGTTTTCTTATACAAGAAAAACACACTGCTTTTTTATTTGCTTTAGGATTATCTGGTGTACATAAATAAAAAAATTCACGAAAATTATGCTTTTCTTTCATTTTAATTTTATACAAACTCGTATATATTGAAATAAGAAATTTGTTATGAAAAATAATGACGAAATGCGAGAATCACAAAAAAGATCGATAAATCTTAGATTTAATAAACAAATAATAATAAATTGTTAAATTTCCAGATTAAATAAATATCACACACTTGTCATTCCATTTTTGGATATCATCAATTTTAAGTTATGCTTTTTGGAGTTTCGATCAACAAGTTATTATGAAATGTGCCACTAAATAGATTAATCATCATAATGACAATCATAAATGATATTGTCACTTAGAAATGACATATGTCATTTTGTCATTTGTCATTTGCAAATGACATTTTTTTTAAATGACATAATTTCTTATATCATTTCAATGTCATTTAAGGTCATTTGAAATTTGGTCAAATGACAATGTCATTTAACATCACTGGTATAATTTATTTCGGGATTCTAGTGTAGAGAAAGATTATGGGGGTGAGAATCAATAATAGATAGGCGTATAGATAGAGAAATAATTTTTTTAGTTATAGATACAATATTCTCCGAAAATGTGAGAGCAAAGAAATAATTTGATGCTGGGACTCTAAATGGCCTAGGATCCTCCCTCTTTGATAGCATCATATGATCCTATAATCACGATGATGAATTTTTTGTAATCATTTCTTATCATATTAATAGGAACCCCCTTATAAAACGCGTTTTCATAAATCAATGAAGTTTAAAGTCCGATAAGAGTTTATTCAGATTTAAGACGCGTTCACTTGATATAAGTTAAATTTTGAATCATATACTTCTTCCTTCAAGTTCGCAAGTTTTACTGTTACTAATTCTTCTCTTTTCTTAATGGCTACAACTACAAATAAATTAATAGAACCATATTCTTCCAATATGCCTTATTTTACTTTAACTGCATCCAACACTCCAGAAGAGCTTGTAAAAGCCGCAACACTTCTATTATCTACAATTAAGAAACAACCAAAGTTAACGAATGCATTTCGCATGGAAGTTGAGATTTCTAATGAGAATGTTCTGTTTCGAGTTTGTATTGATCCAGTATCGTGGTATGACGTATATCTACGCACCAAATCTAGGACCGAAGCGGTTATGATTGCAAAAAAGTACATTACAAAAACACGAAACAAAATCCCACCCGAAATGGATGGTCCTTCTGTAGTAAATCTAAATTGCGAAGATCTCGAAAAAAGAAAGGCGTATACTCCATGTAATAGAACTTCTTTTCATGCTAAAAATTTGTGTGGTAAGTTTGCACCTACATAATTGCCATTTTTGTCAAAACACTCATCGATCTATTAACCTTTTGTAGAATATGATCATACCGAGCATATATGTATGGTGAAAGTACAAACGCTTGATTCTCGAGAAGAGATATGCAATTTTCATTGTCCTACAAAACTTATCTTTGAGAAGTTCCCTACAGAAGATTATGTTATGCTATTGTGACGAGAAATCATCTGAGAGTTACTTCTTGCACCTTGTCCTAATAAAGAAAAAGATAATCACTGCGATAATGAGGAATTGTTAAAACGAAATGAGTTCTGGTCATTTCTGTTAAAACAATGGAAACTCCTGAAATTCCATACTGTAGCAATTAATTTCGGCAAGTGGGAATCTGCTATATCGTGGGATAAATATGCGCAGACCTGTCACGCGCATGTTCATTTATTGTTCAAGACGGAAGCTTAGGAAATGATTAAGAAAAAGGTGCCAAATAATGAATTACTCATAAAACTGAACATCCGAAATTGTCCTGGACTGAATTATTTGTTGAAGAATTGTATGGATTTAGAAAAAGAACATTTGCAATTAGAAGAAGGTCGATGTATGTCAAGCAGTATTGACAATCTAATAGATTCAGTCAATGAACTAACAAAAATGACTAAGGATGGATTTGATTCTCTTACTAAAGCAATTAATAATCTTGCGAATCAAATTAAAGAAGATAAATCAAAGCAATAGTAGAGCAAATTATGTAATGGTAATTTATTAATAAAAAAAGTCCAATAAAAAAGAAACCTTTCTTCAGCAAATTATACGGTATTGAGCCCAGGCAATGAATATTATATTTGTATTGGCAATGTATTCGCAAAAATTTATTATTATTAAATAAAGCATCGTTAGCAATAAGATATGGTTCGGTCATTAATTTTATATGATTAACCAAAAATATTTTTTTATTTCATATAATTGCATGTATTTTTACAACTTCATTAAAATTATACATTACTTTATCTTTTTTTAAAGGTCAAAGTTTTTCTTAAATGATTATAATGATTATTTAATAACTTTCACTCATTAAAAGTCACATGTAATGATACAATATCTGTGCGACATAAAAACCTATATTAACGCCCAGTATTTTCTTTTCCGAACAGAAATAAATTTTTATCTCCCTCCGGAAAGTAACACTATTTTTTATCTGACCCAAATATTCCTATAAAAGCGCTATGTCAATTATCATACTCAGTTGTTTGGTCGTAGGTGAAAACCCTTACGATAATGCTTTCAACGTAAAACTTAATAAGACAGAGGCGGTTAGTGAACTCAGGGACGCTATCAAGGAAAAAATTGACGATAATGTTAAGGCAAAAGACCTCATGCTATGGAAGGTCGACATTCCCTTTGAAGAAACTTGAGCTCATCAACACAAAAATAAACGTTAATATCAAGGAGGAGCTCAGTGGCGTAGAACTTCCACCTCTTTTGAAGATTAGCAAACATTTTACCTCCCAGCCAGCCGATGAGCACATACATATAATAGTACAGCGTCCTGTTGAAATGAAAGAAGTTCACTGCACTGCAACGTATGGGCGTAAGTTAGAGAAATTCTTGTGGGCTGTAACTCGTGGGCAAATAACCTTGTCAGCTATGAAGACGAGGCTTCGAACTTGTTTTACTTTTCCAGACGGAGCATATTGTCATAAATCGTGAGAGCGGAAAGGAACGTATTTGGCATGTATAATCTGGTCTCAAGGGTTCAAAGTTGACCTCCCAATTGTCTTGGACACATGTAAGTAATGTTTAATATTAGCCATGTTTCTTCGTTATATTTACGCAACAGATACTAACAGCTTTAATCTTGTATTTCCACAACAGCGCAACAACCATTCTCCTCGTGGAGGTTTGATAAGATGAAGTCACTCTTCGGCCTGAAAGCAGACAATTATAATGAACTACCTACTTTTGCTGGAGGTGTTAAAGAAATGCCAGAAGAAATCCGAAATCTAGTTATCCCTTAAACTGTTTTGCAGCCAAATTTGCCTGCAATTTTATTTTTTAATTAAAGACACTTTTAAATATCTTAAAATATTTTATTACATAAACCAATATTTTTTTAATAAATTTTATAGTATTTTCTAAGTAAAAATTGAAAAAAAAAGTTCAATTTGATTAATGATTTTTTAAAAGTAAATGATCAACAAATTATAACAAACAGTAGCTAAATTTTTCAATTGAAATATCTTTTTATCCATTAACCCTAGAAATATAGAATTACTACATTTGATGTGTCTTAATGAGAAGGATCTGATAGAAATAAAATTGTCCTTCTACAAATATTATGTAATAGAATATCTTATAAAATCTAAAAATTTATAAATTAATATAACTTTTTATCTATCAATTTAAAGTTATGATTTTATTACTATTAATAAGAGGAATCTAACAAATATAATTTTATCTTTTTATGATCACTAGATCTTAAGATATTTTAAAAATTCAAAAATTTAAAATTTTTAAAATTAATTTTAACCCCTACAGTTTAAGGGATAGGTGAATTTTTGAGATTACACAAGACATCCCAACATATCACAAGCACCAATGAAGCCACCCGTTGTGAATATATTTCCTGTATCATTTATGGTGTGACATCAATATATGGAGGTGAAATAAAGGTTTATCCTCAGTATGAAATCTCAGGAAGTCACAGCAAAAGTCCTGTTGATTGGGCTATAAGATAGGGAATATTATTATCACAATCACCAAAGCAAAAAAAGAGGACATCAATCAAGGAATTGCACAGAATGCGATCCAACTGCAGACATCCATCCAGCGCAATCCTAAAAAATGAACTTATGATATGGCAGGTTTGCAGGAAGACGTAATGTACGGGATTGTATCAACTGCTGTGGATTGGGTAATGATCAAGCTAGTTTCGTCCAGCTCTGATAATAACAGTGAAGGAAAAGTGGATGTATTGTTAAGTTCATTGTTTCCCTTTCCATTACCAATCAACAAGGCTATATTGACCTATGACAATTTGGTAGAACCTATTAAGGACTTGTTTGGGCAAATCAAGTAGGTGTTTGATAGTCAGATTGAATCACAGGGTTTATCAAAGCAGGTAAAAACAGAATAATAGAATAAAGTATTAGCATAAACATCATGCATCACAGGCTAAGTCTGATCTATGTATTTATTTTTGCATATATCAATAAAAAATTTTTCTTGACATTTTTTCTGAGACCGCGCAGTCCCAGAAATCTGGTAACTTTATAACCTATTTCTCTTGGTAAAATGTCAGTCTCTATGTATATTTATATATTAACTAACTTTTGAATATTTCACTTCTTGTATAAAATTTATCAATCATGTCATCCGAGCTTAAAGTATTGAAACGGCGTATCATTGAACTTAAGATTAAGAATGCTGAGCTTGAAGCAGAATAAGCTGAACTTTTAAAGCGGATTATGGAGGAGAATACTAAACGCGATGTTAGAGTTAAGAAATTGGAGCAAAAAAATAAGGAGCTTGAGACCAGACTTGCAATAGTAGAACAGGCTACCTTACCAGTGGAAGAGCAGTTGTATAATGATAATCCTTTTGACGATAGTACATCTAACTTTAATTTAGTTGCAAAATATCATGAGAAACCATTGGTAGATGTAAAAATAGATAATTCCTTTCTTAAAGAGAAAGAGATGGATAATTTCTTGCTTGAGGCTCATAAGAAAATCATTAGTAATGAAATAAAGCAATATAATAAGAAAAAGAAGAATGAAAAAAAAATGGGCAAGGATTGATTCAAGAAATCTCTTCATCTGTATCCAAAGATAATCATGTGACTAAAATTTCTGAGACTACACGGTCCTGCAAATCTGATAATTCAGATGCATTAGTATCTTCATTTCATGGAACTAGTATGATAAAGATTATTCAGCATTTGCCTCAGTTATGTGATAAGCGCTTATTACAGAAAAGCACAGATTGAAAGCAAATCAAGAAGAAATATTTTGCTAGTAATTTCATATTTCAGTTAGAGGTCTTATGTGATAAAAATAAAATTGGTGAAAAGAAGGCAAGAGGTCTAATATACAATGAAGTTATGAAGCAAATTAATATCCTTCATAAGAAAAGATCTCAAGATACAGGGGTGCCACTCCCAGACATAATAAGAGATGGTTTGTGCAAAAAAATTCAGAGAGCTGAGAAGATTTACAAGCTTCTCAAAAAAATAGGATTGGATAAAATCCAGTATATCAAGTCGTATAGTGCGAATGAAATATCAAAGTTTACTAATGATGAAATCCAAAAGATTATGGATTATTTCTCAAATAAGCCTAGTACAGATTTCAGTGAAAATCAGGACAATTTTATTAATGATAATTCTTCCAATCAAACTGATACGTTAGAGGTGCAAGTGAATCCCTTGGTTTCAGCAAAGGTAAGTGAATCAACAGCACTTATCCTTTTAATCCATAACTCTAATTCTTTTAATAATTCAATTTTTACAAAATACTCTTGGAAGATTGTGTGAAGGATTGTGTGTATTTTGATAAGGAAATTGATTCCACATCCCAGTCAGTAAAAGAAACGAATAAAGAAGTTATTTCGCAATTAAGGGAGAAAACAAATGAAAATAAGTCAGACAATAACTCTGATTTCAATGATTCTGAAGAGGAGATTCCAAATGATTCAGATGATGATGAATATAATGGATACGGTAGATATAATGAATATGGTAAATGTGATAGAAGTTTTTATTATTGTGATGGAAGATACAAAAGAAAAACATTCCCAATGATTATACTTCTCCGCTAATTAATTATGTCATATTTGGTGAACGGACCAATTCACTATTTATTATAAAATTACTATGAATTAATTACGTCTGTCAAAATAAATTTAATTAGTATTTTGTTATTTTAACAAAAAGTATACCAATGATGAGTCCTATTATCTTACCAGTAACCACCTAGGAGAATTATCAAGCAAAATCACATATTTGCATAGACTGAATTATTGTATAGGTTATTTCTTTTTTTTGAATCACGTGGGTGGCTTAAATATTGTGCACAGTAAAATGTTATCCAGAAAAGATCCATAATATTGAAATGAAACAGAATTGAGTAAAGTTTATCAAAAGATGTTATGGTAGTTCAATTGTCAGTGAATATGTCAATAAAACATTGTCTTTAAATAAGAATCTTATACATGAAACTAACAGGATGGGTATGCATTATATCATAATATCGATCACTTGCCAATCATGATATAAGTGATATCACGTTAAATTTGAAGCTTTATTTCAAGCAATAAATGTTCTGACAATTTATGTTAAATTATTTTATTTAATAGTTTCATTTATCAATAAATTAATATAAAAGTATTGTGGTGTGAGCGGTCGAATACCTAGCATGAATAAATAATATATCAAATGGATTAATTATGACCGTCAAGAACTAAGTACGAACGAACTAATCTCGAATCAGCGTGAATGGATAAATGATTAGCCGAAAAGGATAAACATTTAGGAAAAGGAATGATCTACATGATGTAATGTTTATTGAATGATTAACGAGGAACCAATAGATTAAGTAGGGAGTCGATCGATTGCGGCTTAGCAACCAGTTTATTGAGTTCAACAATAGAAACAATTAGGAGGAGTAATTATAAGCCACAAAAGATGAATTATAAGGATAACATATAAAATGGAGGGATAGCGGATTAAAGGAACACGCAGGATAAAAGATAATATAAAAGATAATATGAAAAGATAATATAAAAGATAATATAAAAGATAATATGAAAAGATAATATAAAAGATAACATAAAAGATAATATAAAAGATAATATAAAAGATAATATAAAAGATAATATAAAAAATAATATAAAAGATAATACGAAAAGATATAAGTCACAAAAGATAGAACATAAAAGAATATATATAGCATATTAAAAATAGAAGATAACATATTAAAAAAAAGATAGCATATTAAAAATAGTATATTAAAAAGATAGAAAGATAACACATAACATAATATATTAGAATAGAAAGTATAAGAAAGTTTGTATAAATAGGAAGGGAATTTAAAAGTGAAATTCCTAAGTTCAGAAAAACACAATTTAATTATTTATTAATAAAGTATAAGTATTACTTATCTCTAAGGTTGCTTGTCTAAACCTCTTCAAAATCCTACGATTAGTTTCGTCAAAATTTAACTATAGATTTATTATAGTTTCGGCAGAGTTTCGGCAGTTTCGGCATTTATAATAAGTTTCGGCAGTTTCGCCATTCTCCAAAGTTTCGCCAGTTTTTTAATATAACTTTAATATAGTTTTGGCAGAATTTCGCTTTTCGGCGAAACGCCATCTTGCCTAAACCCCTAGGTTTTGGCAAGCAACCTTACTTATCTCCTGGCTAATTAGGAATAAGTAAAATTTTACTATTCCAATTAGCCAGGAGATAATTGATTTATCCCCTGCCATTTACACAATAGTAAGTGTTTTATAGTATATCGTGAGTATAATAT